AAAGGATAACTAGAAGAAAAAGATAAAATGGCAAAAAAATGGGTTGGTGTTACGTGGATATGGAGATTGACGATGTTATGGCAGAATGAGACCGTCTTGAAGATTTTATTAAAATTAGACAAAGTTCGTGAAAAAAAAACAATGTATCTTTTATAATTTTCAGGCGTGTGACCGAAAATAGAGTTATTTTATTTTACTAGTTTTTAACTTAGATCTATTGTTTAACTAACAATGCTACTTTCCGTTCAAAAATTATTGTCCACAGACAAAAAACATACAAATTAAAAAAACATTAACTAGCACTAACTTTATTAAAAGAAATGGCACTCATACCATTTTGTTTCATTTAATTTCATCATTTTGTTGCATTTAATTCATGGTAAATTAACTAATAATTAGGAGTATTTTGGTAAAAACTGAAAACCTTATTATTAACTCGTAACAGTTAACCATAATTAATTGAAAAAAATTATTAAATAAATAAATAACCACTTATTTAATGTACCCTAATAACCAACAAACTTTTAATTCTTTTATTTACTAATAGCTAGTAGATAATAAATATTTACCAAATGGCTTGTAGTCCAGCGGTATCAGGTGGTGCCTTCCCTCTTTGAGGTCGATGGTTCAAGTCCCGTCGTGGACATAGGTGAAATAGGTGTTGTTAGCTTAGGAGTAGATTAGATTTGCCGGTTCAAAAAAAAAGATAATAAATATTTATATACTGCAAATATTATTATATATCTGTTATATTTATGTCCTAAAATCCAATTGATTTACATATAAACGTCAATACAATTTATTTCTTTGTATTTTGAATATTAAATGCATCATGGTGAATACTAATAGTTAACATAAGGTCCCAATTCAAGACTTTCATGTATTGATACATCACTTTTCACCGCATACTTCCATTTATTAGTATATTTCTAAGACATAATCCAACCATGATACCATTCATTGCAATAATAACATATTCAGCTTGCCTTATTATCCAACCAACTTCTCAATTTATCTAAATTAAGTTTCTAGGTCAAACATCAAACATCACGAATTAGGAATACCGTTATTTGGTATAGGTACTGATACAAGTTCCATTACACCTTTATAACACATTTATTTTCTCATTCAATGAAATTATAACCATTTACCAAAACTTAAAGAAACCTAGTTTCATCTTCTAAATCGGTTAATTATCAAATACAATTATACCATTATTCACTTGATGATTAGGTTGTGTTTGACATATCATAATTAGTCGATAAGTTAGCTTATTTTTCGAAAATTTCTAGTTGTCATGTTTGTTAAGTTAAAAAGTAGTTCATAAGCTAACTTCTAAAAAAACTATTTTTATGAGTCCTTTTAAAATTTCTCAAATATGTCTCTAATTATATATATATATATATATATATATATATATATATATATATATATATATATATATATATATATATATATTCTTTTAAATATATTTTTATATCATTTTATGTCTTTCAGCTAACTTATCAACTAAATTTTACGAAATAAACTTTTTATCGGCTAACTTATAAGCTAGTAACTAACTTTTTTTTAACTATTAGAAAGTACGCTTAGTTGTCTTTTTTCCTGTTTAGCCATTTCATTTGTAGAATCATCCAATATGGGTCTATGTTTTTTTTCCGTTGTCAAAGGTATCTAAGATTATGTTTGACGTACTAGCTGAAAAGTTAGTTGGTAGCTGACAAACTAGTTGGTAGCTGAAAAACTAATTAATAGTTGAAAAGCTAGTTGTTAGCTTGTAAGCTAGCTACCTAGCTGTTAAAAATGACGTTTGGTAAAACTAGTTGATACGTTAACATTAAAGATATAAAATGTCATAAAAAGACATTTATAAGAATAGACAAAACTGCAAAAATGGTCCCTATGTTATGTATTTTTCTGAGGTTTGGTCAAAACCCCGACTTTTTTTGGCTTTGTGGTCATTTTAAACTAGTTTCGTTGTGGATTTAGTCTCTCGGTAAATTGAAATGACTTTAATACCCTTCGGTATTTATTTTTCTTTAATTTTTTTTAAATCTAAATACTTATTTATTTATTTAAATAATTAAAAAATAAGTCTCTCTCTCTCTCTTAAACTCGCACACATCCACCTATGTCTTGCTCCTTCACCTCTAAAATCATTAAACCACCTCTCCATTAGAACCGGTAGCCTGCGATCTGCTCCCACATATCCACTGCAATCCCTTCCCGTCAGCAACCCTAAATCAGATTTGAGTAAAAAGCTTCACGAACTGATTTACAGAATAAGAGGCAAAATATACTCCTAAACCTATGTAACCTACCTTATTCCCACTATCACATCACCATCACTGTTGTCATTAAACAACGCTGCTATGTTTCTCATCCTGGAACACAAGCAACCATGTGTCACCGTCGTGATTTTGATGTCGTCATGAACTGGGCCACCGTGAATGTGCCATCGCCAACAATCTGGGTCATGACGGTGCAAAAGAGCCATAGGATTTTCAGAAAGGAATTAGCAGGTAAGAAAGGGTTTGTGGTTTTGATTTTGAAATCAAAGATGAGAGGCTTTAGGGTTTTCAGAAAGAATCTACATGTGTATCGTATATGCTTAATCGAGTTTTATCCCCCAACAACCCTTTACAGACATCAATCGCCAAAGATTCCATTGGGATTGGTTTTTAAACGGTCGTGTTCGACTGCAAGTCTGAGTTTGGTTTTCAGACGGAGTGTATGAAGAGGGAGGAAGAGTCTCGTCGTGATCTTCTTGGTTATCGGAAACTGGGGTTCTCTTTGTGTTGATGCGTTGATGTCGTTGCAGAGGGATGTGTTAAGGCATTTCTTGGTGGTGGTGGTGCGTCTGATGTTAGAAATTATTGCACTGGACGTAAAACAAAAGGAGAGTACTCGACGGAGGGAGTCCATTTTGGTCATGGTGACGGTAAAAGAGATAATGAAAATGAATGAATACTTTGTCTTTTTGTTGAAGTTTGGGATGGATGCAACCACATGAGAGAGAGAGAGAGAGAGAGAGAGAGAGAGAGGTGTGTGCCCTTTATATATTAAACTAGACGAATTTTCGTACGTTGCGCAGCGAAGATTAAAAATATATTGTTAAAATATTGAAAAATATATATTTAAAATGGTTATGTTATTGATATTAACTTTGAGATAATATTTTTACACTAATATATATATATATATATATATATATATATATATATATATATATAATCTCTATTATTTTGAACAATAATATTCATTGACATCAACCCACATTCCTCATTAATAGAATTAAATATAATTATCTATTTAGTATTATTTTTAACAATTATTATTATTGATTAATTATATTTTTACTTATGCGATCATTTTCTAATTTCAATAATGATGTTCATTTAAAATACAATTTATTTATAGCTAAATGTAATTTATAATTTGATGTTATTATCATTTAAAATTGTTATTCATTAGTTTTAAACCACTTATTATTAATAATAAGTTAAATAAGACTTTTAAGAAACACTTGATATTATTATTAAAATGTGAAACATACACTAAATAATAAAGTGATAAGATAGACAATTTGCATTTCAAAAGAGACTTGCATGGATAATATGACATATCCATGTAATTTGATTTTATTATTTATAATTATTACTTATTAGTTTTAAAACCACTTGTTATTATTAATAAGTGAAAGAAACTTTTAAAAAACACTTATTGTTATAACTAAAATGTTAATACATATAATAAAATATAAAGTGATAAGATAGACAATTTTCATTTTAAAAAAGGCTTACATGGATAATATGGATAATATAACATATCCATGATTTTTAATTAATTATTGTTTTGAAGCAACATGAACATACAAACATGTATACAATAGTTAATTAAATATTATATATATCATCTTCCATAACATATGATCGATAACATGAATCTAATCTAATTTACATTAAAATTTTAACCACGACATACAATGATATTCTTAAAAGACTACTTAAATCAAGAAAATACAGAAAAGAATTAGTATATAACAAACTTACAAATTAAAAACTTCAACATAATAACATGGCTCGAAAAATTGTTCAAAGCCCTCAAACCAACACAAAAAACTTTAAACTTGTTTTCTTTGTGAATTTTGTATGTGATTTGTATTTGTGTGTCTACTAAAAAAGATTGACCTTTTTATAGTAGAATATTCATTAATTGTTTATTAAATATATTATATAAGTTATAAAACATTTGATTTGTTAATCATTATTAAGATACTTTTGAGTGGTATTCATTAAAATAGGAAGTTTCAAATGCATGAGGTGTTTGCAAAATTTTATGGGGGTTTCAAATGCATGAGGTTCAAGGAAAAATGTTAGCTTTATAAGTATGTATGATAATTATAAAATATTTAAGAAAATAAAAGAAAAATAGAAAATAAATACGCCATGGGTATTAAAGTCAGTTCAGTTTACTGAAGGACCAAATCCGCTACGAAATTAACTACAGGACCACAAAGCAAAAAAAAAATCAAGGTTTGGACTAAAACTCAGAAAAAATGCATACCGTAGAGACCATTTTTGCAGTTTTTTCATAAAAATATTTTTCTATAGTTAATTAAGGATATATTTAAGATTTTTTTTAAAAAACTCCTAAAAAGCTAGTCTAAGTATATTTTAAAAAAAACTAGTTTATTAAAAAAAAAACTCAACAAAATAAATAAATAAATAAGTAAGCAGCTAAATTATCAAACTATTGGTGATACAACCTCAGAATATACCTTATTGACAACAAATAGTACTTCTGAAACCAAAATTTATTCATTAGAATTACATATTTCAGCAATCTTATTCTATGATGGCGTCCAACATTTAATTTTCATGCTAAATAAAATAAACATTATTTATATTACAAGAAAACTACATAAAAACATAAATTATACCGAATAGTCGAGGACGTGGTTTCAACACAAAAACAACTCTCAATATCAAAAACTGAACCTAAATAATAATTACACGATCATCACCGCCGTCGCGAGATCTACCCTCCGCCACCGCCGGCAGCTCCACCAACGACCGCCGGCAAGTTGGACATGACGAATGTGAAGCCAACCATACATCAATACACCGTACATGAAACCCATGTTTACATTGCGGCAACACCCTAACTTTCTCACCGTCCATGAACTCTCCGAGACATATCGGACACTCAGTAGCCGGAATCTCTACTCCGGCACCATAGACAGCCACCGGAATCTGTTTTAACGCCTTCTTTTTAACCCCTGTCGTCAGCACCTGTGCAGCGGTGGCGTCAACGCCATCAAAAGCTAACCTCCTGCTACATCTTAAAACACAACGTACAATCGAATTAAGCCCCAGAGCACAAATCAAGGCACATAGTAAAGCAGCCAGTATGATCACCATATTAGTATCGAAATTTGCTTCTTTGCTGTACTTCGAATGTTGCTGGCCGCCACTACCGCCGTCATCCGGCGGCGCCATGGTGACTGCATCGAGTAGCAGCCGCTGCATGATCACTACGCGATAGTTAGCACCCACTTCACAACACACAAATAACCAACTGAATTTCCCTCAAAATTTTAACAAAAGGAACTTCAATGGGTTATGCAAATTGAGTACGGATTTCTTTCCTCCAAGGAAATCGAACAACAAAAGAGACTGCAAGCTGGGGATCCATTACAATTAAGAATTCTCCAGATTTTCTTGTTTTTTCTTCAATGCTTCAACTTCTTGTACTTTCATTAGGTCTGAAAACATGCAAAAAATGGGTTTTCTGCAATTCTTTGATCTAAGCTATATTTTGATGAAAATTTTGGGTTTTGTTTCTAAAAAAGGAGGAAGATGTGAAGAATCTAAGAAATAAAGTTTACAGAAAGTAAAATTTCTTAATTGGGGATTTGAGAATCGGCTTCTTGATCTGGGGGTTGTTGAGGTATTGAGGTGGAAAGGGAAGAAGAAGACGTGTTCTTTGATCACTCAGGGGTCTTAAAGAAGAAGAGCTTTATTGATGAACAAATACCGGTGGTCTGGGGTAGGGTAGGGTAGGGTGGGGTGGGGTGGCTTGAGAATTTGATTATGGCACCTGATGCTGCTTAATCACACAATTAAGGCTACAAGAAATGAAGCAAATGCTTTATTCCAAAGCACCATGTCCCTATCCCATGGCATTCTCTCAATTCACCAATTTTTAATGGTGAAATTTCTAGAAAAAAACAACTTTTAATACATAGAATATGAGTCTCTAATACATGATTATGTCATATATGATATTTTGATGATGGAATATTAGGATTTTTGTGTTGTTTCTTATGATCATTTATTCTTTTGTTCATACTTCATTGTTATTATAGATATATCAAGTTTATTAAATAAACGTATAATATCGGTAAATAGTTCAACTCAAGCATAACCCTATATCTATATTTATTTTAGAACTAAACCACCCAACTCATCAAGTTGAAAATAAATATATTTCTGATATCATTTTTAATGAAATAAACTCTTATTAAGGTCATTTTGATGCTAAATTTCCAACATCTAACATAATACATATAATTTGTTGTTAAAATGTGGTATTAAACATAAAAATACCAAAACATTATTTATTAAAATAATCGGCATGTTAGATTTAAAACTTAGATAGAAAGGTAAAATGACAAAGAAATATAGATAGACTACTTTTTAAAATTATATATATATATATATATATATATATATATATATATATATATATATATATATATATATATATATATATATGCAACACTTTGAACACTTCTTGATGCACCGCACAGTATACATGCAACACTTGACATTTTGCAGTTGTTTGTTTTTTTGAAGACGTTTGACTTAAAAACTATCGCGCGTGCGCCGCGTAGCACAACACCAGACAATCATCTTCAAACTACTTCTCTGTAACGCCCGGTTCCTGATACGTATTTAAATAAGAAATTATTCATATCTGTTAAGGGACTCGACGAGTTGGAGGCCCCAAACTCGTCGAGTAGGAATTGGATATATTGGACGCGGGACTTGAAGTCTACTCGACGAGTCGAGAAGCCTCGACTCGACGAGTAGGTCTACCAAAGTGAAACCCTAATTTTCAGGGTTTGGACCCTATCTAAAGGCCTTGACACCCCATTGTGGCCTCCCTCATCGCCTCCCTTAGTCCATAAAACCCTAATTCGAAACTCTAACCCATCTTGAGTGTTCTTGAGCCATTGTTGTGTGTTTTTGGTGGTTTTGAAGCTTGAGAAGGAAGAGGAAGCTTGGGAATTCAAGAGGAAGCAAGTAGATCTAGAGGTTGTGTTCCATTTCCAACTCATTTGAGGTATAAAGTTTATACCTTGTCCATTCATCTATTAGATCTCTTTTTGGAGTAGTTTAGGGCTTTAAGGAGCCATTTTTGGAGTCATTCATGGATGCAAGCATTATTTGGGATAATAACTTCAGATCCAGAGCCTTTAAGGGACTCCATGGCATAAAGGTGGCAACTTTATGGCCATGGGAGTCCCATGCATCCTATGAACTACTTTTTAGGGCTTTTTGAGCTAAATAGCCCATGCATGAACGTAAAGTTTGTAACTTTACGTGTTATATCGACCCTAGCAGGCCAGATCTATGTTTTGGATGCGTTAAGCCCGACTGGAATCGACTGGATAGATTTGGATCATGGGGGACTCGACGAGTCATTCTTTGGACTCGGCGAGTTGGGTCGTGGTTCCCCAACCTTCTCTGCTACTTAGCAAACTTGTTGAGTCTAGAAGATGACTCAGCCAGTTAGACATGTTTTGGACTTAAAGGTCAAGAACTCGACGAGTCCAAGGATGAACTCGGCGAGTCAATGAGCAAATATACTGACCTATATGATGGAGAACTCGACGAGTTCAAGGAAGGACTCGACGAGTTCAAATAGAAAGTCCCGATTCTGTCATAAGGAGAAACTCGGCGAGTTAGAGGGTAACTCGACGAGTTAGAGCGCGAATTTGAGATTCTCTGAATTATGCAACTCGACGAGTTGATGGACCAACTCGGCGAGTTGAGTCAAACAGGATGTTGACTTTGACCAGGGTGTTGGATTTGACTTTGACTTTGACTTTAACCTTGACCATTATCCAAGATTGACCCTCAAAGGGGTTATGAATATGAAAGAGTAATTGAAGGAGACTGTTATGTGTAGGAGTTTGAGGTGAGTTACCTTCCAGTAGAAGTGGGTCTAAGGCCACAATGTCGGCCCACTAGTAGGAGATGTTTGTTAGATGATTGTCTTCGTGATAATTGTCTGGTGTGCCACTATGCTTTATGTGCTAGTATGTAATGTTATAGTATAGTAGTGGTAGGGGTGAAATAGTCCCCAGTTACCGGTTGAAAGATACCGAAGGGGAGGCCAGCATCCAGATATGCTAGGCAGTATATGATACATGTATGTATGCTAGGGTATTATGTAGTAGTAGTATGGGGTGAAATAGTCCCCGTATCCGGTTGAAAGAGACCGAAGGGTAGGCCAGCACCCAGATATGCTAGGCAGTTACCGGTTGAAAGAGACCGCAGGGGTAAGTCGGGCACCCGGATATGCCTAACAGTATGATATTCTATGGTATGTGGTATGATGGGGGATCTCACTAATTTTTGTGCTTACGGTTTACAGTTTTGGTTTCAGGTACCTCTCCTTCGAAGGGGAAGGAGCCGGCATGACTGCATCGCATCACACACATGATTTTCCGCATATGAGATTCTTGGGATTTATACTCTGACATTGTTATTATTTGATAATATGGTTTCGAGACACGTGAACTATGGTTTTATGAAATATATTACTTGATGACGTTCTTTTACAAATTGTTTTTATAAGGGTAAATTACACCAATCGTCCCTCGTGCACATGCCAGAAAGCGTATTTAGTCCCTATTTTCAAAAATTAACTCCGATCGTCCCTCGTTTGCTTAAAACTTGCTAACTTCGACCCTTATATGTGTTTTGTTGCGAATTTAGTCCACTCCACATTTGAAATGACCATTATGCCCTTGGATATTTATTTTTAGTTAATTTTAATATTATTTATTATTAATAATTAAAAAAAACAACTTTCTAATAGCTATCTCTCTCATACGCATGAAAATACCACCACCACCTTCGATGTAGTCTCTCTCTCTCTCTCTCTCTCTCTCCCTCCATTCTTCTTCAATACAAAACACACACACATACAAGAAGCCATCACATTGACTTGAAGAACCTCGATTCACCTTCACGTTGACTTGAAGAAGCCATCAGACAACAAATTGAATCCTCAATGAAGCTATAACCTACATCACAAGGTAAATTAGCCCCCGCCGACTTACACCATCTATGAGGAAGATGAAGTGGTGGTGGACGGAATCCTCCTTGATCTGGTGACGGTGGACATCACGTTCCTCGATCTGATTCCGTCAATCGAAATCCTCTTTCTTCTCCTGCAACTCGTTAGTTCCAATTTGCATGTTTAGGGTTTAGTTAGGGTTGATTTGCAGGTTTAGGGTTTGATCTTTGAGGTTTGATTTTTCCGATTTGTAGGTTTGGGGTCTCGCCGGATCTATGTGGAGGAAAGGGGTGGGATGGTTCCAGAAATTGAAGTCGAAATCTAAGTCATACATTGGTGGTCGTCGTCGTTCTTGAGCAATCGACGAGTTCAGACCATGGATGGCGACTGGAGAGTCCAGATCGGGCGATTTATGTGACATTTATAAAATCACATATTGCAGGGGTAGAAACGGGCTCCTGGGATTCACCGGTGGAAATTTTTTGTTGGTTTGAGATACGAATGATCGCCGATGATGTATCAACTTTTTGAGAGATTATTTTGGTTGTGGATGTATCGATTTCTTGGTTTAAGGTCTTGAAGAGGATTTGGAGTCGTGGAGTAATGGATTTGATTTCTTGAGAGATTATTTTGTTTTTTTTTAATTTAAAACTGATAAATAAATAAAAGAAATGAAAAAAGAAATTATTAAGGGTAAAATGGTCATTTCATGTCAATAGGGACTACGCATGCAAGAAAAAAACAAACCAGGGACGGTCCGAGTTAATTTTTGAAAATAGGGACTAAACACGCTTTTTGGCATGTGCACGAGAGACGATTGGTGTAATTTACCCTTTTTTATAAATTGTTATACTAAAAATGAAATTTTTGGTCTTAAATTTTGGGATGTTACAAGTTGGTATCAGAGCCTTAGTTTGAGGGATTCGGATACGCTCTCGGGTGTGTCTGAACTCAAATTAAGGAGTTGGTATGAAATTTTTTCTAAAGAAAATCATTTTTATGAAAAGAGATTTGAAAATAGAAAATAATTTTGAAAAGAGAAAAGGGTGTGGTGCGTGCAATCGGCCGAACTCATGTAAGTTTTCCCCAAGATACCCATACATGTTATGTTATGATATGATATGATTATAAGAACTGCATGCTAGATTAGGGCTGAGGATCTAGGAATGATGCCTTATATGCCTATTGTATATGTATGAGAACTGCATGCTAGATT